CACACACACACACACACACACACACACACACACACACACACACACACACACACCACACACACACACACACACACACAACACACACACAACACGCGCACACACGCACACACAGCGCGCGCGCACACACACACACACACACACACACACACACACACACACACACACACACACACACACACACACACACACACACACACACACAAACATGGAGAGCCAAGATGATGGATGTGGTACTTGAAAACCTCATGCATCAACATGCCAGGGACACTACCAGAGAGAGAGGGGAGGATGAGCCAGCAAGACTGGATCTTGTGTTCACCCTAAGCAGTTCAGACATTGAGGACATCACTTACGAGAGGCCCCTTGGAGCTAGCGATCACGTGGTTCTGAGTTTTGATTATATAGTAGAGTTACAAGTAGAGAAGGTAACAGGAACTGAATGGGAAAAGCCAAACTACAAAAGGGAGGACTACACAGGTATGAGGAACTTCCTGCAGGAGGTTCAGTGGGACAGAGACCTGGAAGGAAAATCAGTAAACGAGATGATGGAATATGTAGCAACAAAGTGCAAGGAGGCAGAGGAAAGGTTTGTTCCCAAGGGAAACAGAAATAATAGGAAGACCAAAGCGAGTCCTTGGTTTACCCGAAGGTGTAGGGAGGCAAAAACTAAGTGCACCAGAGAATGGAAAAGGTACAGGAGGCAAAGGACCCAGGAAAATAAGGAGATTAGTAGAAGAGCCAGAAACGAGTATGCACAGATAAAGAGGGAGGCCCAGCGACAGTACGAAAACGACATAGCATCGAAAGTCAAGTCTGATCCAAAACTGCTGTACGTATAACCACATTAGGAGGAAGACAACAGTCAAAGACCAGGTGATAAGGCTGAGGAAAGAAGGTGGAGAACTCACAAGAAACAATCAAGAGGTATGTGAGGAGCTCAACATGAGATTTAAGGAAGTATTTACAGTGGAGACAGGAAGGCCTCTCGGGAGACAGACCAAATGGGGACACCAGCAAGGAATATACCAACAAGTGTTGGATGACATACATACAGATGAGGAGGAGGTGAAGAAACTGCTAAGGGACATTGATACCTCAAAGGCAATGGGACCGGACAACATCTCCCCGTGGGTCCTTAGAGAGGGAGCGGATATGTTGTGTGTGCCACTTACCACAATCTTAACATGTCCCTGGAAACTGGGCAACTACCTGAGGTATGGAAGACAGCAAATGTAGTTCCCATTTTTAAAAAAGGAGACAGAAAAGAGGCGCTAAACTATAGACCTGTGTCACTGATGTGTATAGTATGCAAAGTTATGGAGAAGATCATCAGGAGGAGAGTGGTGGAGCACCTGGAACGAACAAGAGTATAAACGCCAACCAGCATGGATTCATGGAAGGCAAAGCCTGTGTCACAAACCTTCTGGAGTTTTACAATAAAGTAACAGAAGACACGAGAGAGAGGGGTGGGTTGATTGCATCTTCTTGGACTGCAAGAAGGCCTTTGGCACAGTTCCTCACAAGAGATTAGTGCAGAAGCTAGAGGATCAGGCTCATATAACAGGAAGGGCACTGCAATAGATCAGAGAATACCTGACAGGGAGGCAACAACGAGTCATGGTACGTAATGATGTATCACAGTGGGCACGTGTGACGAGCGGGGTCCCACAGGGATCGGTCCTAGGACCAGTGCTAATTTTGGTATATGTGAACGACATGATGGAAGGGTTAGACTCAGAAGTGTCCCTGTTCGCAGACGATGTGAAGTTAATGAGGAGAATTAAATCAGATGAGGACCGGGCAGGACTTCAAAGAGACCTGGACAGACTGGACACCTGGTCCAGCAACTGGCTTCTCAAATTTAATCCCGCCAAATGCAAATTCATGAAGATAGGGGAAGGGCACAGAAGACCGCAGACAGAGTATAGGCTAGGTGGCCAAAGACTGCAAACCTCGCTCAAGGAGAAAGATCTTGGAGCGAGTATAACACCGAGCATGTCTCCGGAAGCACACGTCAACCAGGTAACTGCTGCAGCATATGGGCGCCTGGCAAATCTGAGAACAGCGTTTCGATACCTTAATAAGGAATTGTTCAAGACACTATACACCGTGTATGTCAGGCCCATACTGGAGTATGCAGCACCTGTTTGGAACCCGCACTTGATAAAGCACATCAAGAAACTAGAGAAAGTGCAAAGGTTTGCGACAAGGTTAGTTCCAGAGCTAAGGGGAATGTCTTGTGAAGAAAGGTTAAGGGAAATCGGCCTGACGACACTAGAGGACAGGAGGGTCAGGGGAGACATGATAACGACATATAAAATACTGCGCGGAATAGACAAGGTGGACAAAGACAGAATGTTCCAGGGAGGGGACACAGAAACAAGAGGTCACAATTGGAAGTTGAAGACACAGATGAGTCAGAGAGATATTAGGAAGTATTTCTTCAGTCATAGAGTTGTCAGGCAGTGGAAGAGCCTAGAAAGTGATGTAGTGGAGGCAGGAACCATACATAGTTTTAAGACGAGGTTTGATAAAGCTCATGGAGCGGGGAGAGAGAGGACCCAGTAGCAACCGGTGAAGAGGCAGGGCCAGGAGCTAAGACTCGACCCCTGCAACCACAAATAGGTGAGTACACACACACACACACACACACACACACACACAGCATCTTTTTTATGGGTCTCTCACAGCTTAAGGGTATGATGAAGATGGCATTAAACATTTGGTCTCAAAAAAGCAACAATTCATATGAATAAATTTTCAAATAGTTTAGACTAAGTGTTGACTGAGATGCTAGGCATTCTACAGGTCTTCAGTGTATTATATGTCCTGTGCAGTAATACTAAAATTTAGATAAGTAGTTGCACTTGTATGTGACAAAACTTATAGTGTAACTGTTTTATTGAAACTACCAACAAATTGCTTGCAAAAATTTAAGTAATAGGTGTAAGCCTGTGAATCTGGCAATGAGTGTGCCTGTGAATCTGGCAAGGCGTGTGATGTGAATCTGGCAAGGCATATGCCTGTAAATCTAACAAGGTGTGTCCCTGTGAATCTGGCAAGACATGTGCCTGTGAATCTAGCAAGGCATATACTTCTGAATCTGGCAAGGTGTGTGTCTGAATCTGGCAAGGTGTGTGCCTGTGAATCTGGCAAGGTGTGTGCCTGTGAACCTGGCAAAGCATGTACCTGTGAATCTGGCAAGGTGTGTGCCTGTAAATCTGGCAAGGTGTGTGCCTGTGAATCCGGCAAGACGTGTGCCTGTACTCACCTATTTGTGGTTGCAGGGGTTGAGTCATAGCTCCTGGCACCGCCTCTTCACTGACTGCTACTAAGTCCTCTCTCTCCCTGCTCCATGAGCTTATCAAAGCTCGTCTTAAAACTATGTATGGTTCCTGCCTCCACCAAGTCACTTTCTAGGCCATTCCATTTCCTGACAACTCTATGACTGAAGAAATACTTCCTAACATCCCTTTGACTCATGGCAAGGTGCATATATATGAATCTGGCAAGGCATGTGTCTGTTAATCTGGCAAGGCATGTACAGTGGACCCCCGGTTAACGATATTTTTTCACTCCAGAAGTATGTTCAGGTGCCAGTACTGACCGAATTTGTTCCCATAAGGAATATTGTGAAGTAGATTAGTCCATTTCAGACTCCCAAACATACACGTACAAACGCACTTACATAAATACACTTACATAATTGGTCGCATTCGGAGGTGATTGTTATGCGGGGGTCCACTGTATTTGTGAACCTGGCAAGGTGTTTGCTTGTGAATCTGCCAAGGCATTTGCCTGTGAATCTGGCAAGGCATCATCTACTTACAAATCTGCAGTAACATCAGCCAAAGAACCATAGCCATCAACCTCAGTTCAAGAACCACAGCCATCCACTTCAGCCCTGTAGGGTTACTTTAACATGCCTTTCAAGATCATCAACAAAGATGAGCAACCAGAATTTAAGGTAAAAAAAAAAAATTGTTTCACATAATGTTTTTAGGAACATACTTAAATTTGGGAGGGTATTTAACAGAAGGAAATTAAAAGTGAATATAGGAAAGAATAAAGTACTGAGAGTATCAAAGAGTATAGGCAATGAGAGATTGGATATCAGATTGGAGAGAGGGAGTCCTGGAGGAGGAAAGTACAGTACCTGCACTCTGAAGGAAGGGTTGGGATGTTATGATTTGGAGGGTCATCTGAAGTGTCATGTCAGCATGCTTCTGGCAAGACAGTGATTGAATGAGTGACAGTGAAAGTGTTTTCTTCTTTGTTGGGTCACCCAATCTTAGTGGGAGATGGCCATTGTTAAAAAAAAAAAAACTACTGTATTTTAATTTTGTACACCTCACTTCATTCAATTACAATGTAAATTATGAAACATTATTTTTTAGAACTATGAAACTTCAAAAAAACATGCTTGGCCTTTTTTTTTAAGTGTCAGAAAGATATCCCAATTTTCCTACATGTCCTTTAATCCACCTAGAACAAATTCGTGTAACATGTCAGTCTTCAAGAATGTAACTCTTATTTGGAGCTTTACTGTATAATAACAAGAGTATTTTAAATTATGTATATAAAAATAAATTATAATTTATTTTTGGTCTCCTCACTTTTCTGGTCAACAATCAAAGAATCTACAATCATGTATATTACAGTGGAAGAGTGAATAGCTGTTACTTAAGTGACCACAGAGTAACAACTTAAAGCAAACTAAAAACCAAAAGTGGGACCTAAATAAATGCCACATTTTATTTGTTTATTTGAGCTGTATTGGGTAGATTTAAAAGAATATTAAAAATGCATAAACTCAAATCTGACCAAACGAAGAAACAAAATCAAAAAGTTTCAATAAGGTAAATGTTTGTACTTCAAAATAAAGCAGAATTATATATAATGAGAAGAGGCATGTGAGTCACATTGTAAGTCCCTTTGATTATGAAGATGTTACATAAAGATCAAGATTATCCTCAGTCATCTACTCCTTGAATACTCACCTCCTTGGGAACGGAAGTCCATGGTACAAGAGTATTTCATTTCGGTGGGATCAAGAGCTGTAGCTCCTTCCATGGTTGGTATGGTTGCAGGAGGAGGGTAGGGGCTCCCATAACCACCAACACTGCCAACCCCAGTGCTGCTGCTGCTTCCTCCTCCCAAGCTTCCTGTTGCTCCTCCTGAACCATCCCAAACACAAAGATTTAGTCTAAGTCATGAAAGATACTGATAAAAGACTCTAAGCTTTGTTTTTTTACTCTGACAGTTTAAATATGGGTGTGTAAAAAAAAAAAGAAGTTGACAGTGAACAAAGAAAAAACAGAAAGGTGACAAGAGTAAGAAAAAGTCAAGGCAATGAAAGATTGACATCAGGCTGAAGGAAACAAAGCAAGAACTGCTTATTATATAAAAATTCTTCCCTTCAAAATTAAAATTCCTCTTTGCTTAGTTAATGCCTTTTTGTTATTTATATTTCAGTTAATTTAAATCTGATGCCACAAACTTTTTAAAACTTGCAAAACAAGAGGGCCTGCAGCTTGAAAATCTCTACTTTGACTATGCAAGCAACACTGGCTTTGTAGTGGTTTCTACCACCCCTCTTGCAGGCTAAGTGATGTGCTACTGCCAAGCATAAAATGAAAATCATTAAATCAAATTATATTAACCCAATTTCTCCCCAATCTATGTACGTAAATAAGATTCATATTAACATATCATGCTGAAATTACTCATTAGTAATATTTTTTGTCATTACTGAGACAAACCATTATTTAGCTAGAGATTTGGGCAAGGAAAGTACTACTGCTTTCTGGGTTTTCCCACCAATACCACCCCCTCCCATACCCTCTACAGATTACTGCCACTTGAATGTCAGTTGTGACAACAATTAACCCTTTCCCTGTCAATACCCCCTAAACTAAAAATCCCTTCTAAATGTAATGACACCAAAAATGCAAAAAAGTTTAATGTAATACTTATGAAATTACTCAGGCACAAAGTAGGAGATCTGGGAGCACTTCATGCAATAGCAATTTTACGCAATACCCAACTAGTATTTGCTAGTATGTCTCCTGTAGTAGCCACTGATTGTGAGAAACTACCCATTCACCAATCAGAACTATACTATTCAGTGCCCAAAAGTTGGTAATTTGGTCAATTTTACTCCATTTTCAAATAATTCCAATTTAAAAACAAACACTGTAGTTATTTCGGCCACTAAAGCAATTTTCCCTCTGATCATTAATCATGTCCCCAGGCTTCTCCTGTATAATACTTGCCTCCATTTTGAACTCATTGTCATACATGAAAAATTGCAATTGATTACCTAACCTTTTGTTCTGTTTCAAAGTTTTGTTGATTACTAGACTCACTAGATTAGTAGTCCAATATCAATAACATTTTGGAATAATGTAGTTGATTTTAACTTTTTTAGAGTCTGAGTTTGATTTTGATGGGAAAAGGTATCCCTGTGTGATGATACTGTCAATCTGAGAAATTAAATTTACTTTTAAGTAGGCTGGTGGTAGTGGAGATGTCCTTTTCAAAATAAATTTGTACTAGGAAAATCATGCAGGGAATGAGAAGTGAAGAGATTAGAACATGGTATGGTGGTATGAAATGTACACTCAAGGAATAAGAAATGTTGTTAGGATGATTTGGTCATGTAGAAAGGATACAGCAAAATAGGGTCAAATAGATACTGTATATAAATCTGGAGTGAATAGGAAGTGTAGGGAACATCACATGAAGTGTTGGAAGGTGAGTGCAGAAGTTTTGAGAGTTAAGGGTTTGAACATTCAGCAAGCATGTGTAAGTGTGTCAGTTCAAATTGAATGGAGATTAGTATTCTTTGGGGATTTGATGAGCTGCTGGAGTGTGAGCAATATTACATCTATGAAAGGATTCAGGAAAACCAGTTTGCCAGACTTAGTTCTGGAGGCCCCTGTAGTGTGAAAGATGGGTGATTGTCTTGCATTTTAATTGACCTTCAAAACTGATGTCTCTACTCTTCCGGAAAGGCAGCAAGGAAATGAGCGATGATGAATCTTTTTTCTCTAGACCATCCTGCCTTGGTGGGACTCCGCTCATGTATTTAATAAAATAATCATATACAGTAAGTCCCCAGGTTATCAACATCTGAATTATGATCAACAGCACCTGTACTTGTAGACAGGGCTTGCAGGAACCAATAAATGTATTACAGAACTAATCTACAGTTCTAAAAGTTAACCCTTAACCCTTTCAGGGTCGAGAGGCCCTCTCCTAAACTCGTTCTCAGGGTCGAAAATTTTTCGGAAAAAAAAATTATTTTTTCTTATGAAATGATAGAGAATCTTTTCCCGATCATAATGACACCAAAAGTATGAAATTTGATGGAAAACTTATGGAATTATGCTCTCGCGAAGTTAGCAGTCTCGACGATGTTTACACATTGGCGATTTCACCCACTTTGAGCCCTATTCTCGGCCAATTTCAGTGTACTAGTCGACAAAAATCATATCTATTTTGCTAGAACTCTATTTTTTTCTATCGAATGAGTACAAGAAACCACCCATTTACCGATTTCAAGTATCCAATAAAGTGGTCAGAAATTGGCAATTTTACCAATTTTACACAAATTTCAGAAGATGCCAATTTCCAAATAGGGTCCAGAATAAACAAGACAGACATTCCTGGCACTAAAATAACATTTTCTCTGTTCATTAGTCATGTCCCCAGGCCCCTCTTACATCTCTTTTGCTTTCCACTTTGAATTTTTATTCTCACAAAAAATAGAAGATTTACTGTTATGCAGACTACTGTATTAGTATAGAAATTGTGTAGAAATGGTATAAATAATATCAGTGCACTCATGAAAGAATATTAGACTCACCAGTTGAAGTGTATTGGATGCTTGGCATGATTTGCTTACTTTTGAACTTCGGTAAAAATCGAACATTTCTGTTACTCTGAGCTCAATTTCAAAATGCTTTTCATTATGAAACCAATCAAAATCATCTCAATTTCTGTAATATGTCTTCCATTCTATAAAATGAGACCAGGAAAACTAGAATACAACCATAAATACCATACAAAAATACACTGCAAAGTTGCTGTTTTAAACCAAAAACACGGTTGGATTTTTTTTTTTCTCATTATGCACTGTGTGCTGCAGGATTTTTTTATACTTTGCACACTGACCACATAGACCCATTCTTTCATATGTAGGCCTACCAGCTTTCTCTCACTAGATTTGACGGCGCTAGAATTTAGGCGTTCTAGTACGTCAATAACCATGGTGCGTAAGCCATACTAGTACGTTGGAAACCCTGAAAGGGTTAAACTATCCAAACATAGATCTATGTTGACGTGCATAGTGCTCCGAACGTAGATCTACGTCCAATTTTACATGCTTTCAAATGGAGAAAATCAAGGTTGGAGAGCCTCGCATGTCAACGTAGATCTACGTTTGGACAGTTTAAGGGTTAAGTACAAATTTAAGCCAAATTAAAAATATTTTTCTTCCCTGTTTTTACATTCATTTTATACATATGTGGTGAGCTCTCCTTTTTTTGGTATAAAGTGGTCAAAAACTGTGGAATTATAATTACCACACATCTTATTTTTTGAGCCCAATATTCTGAATATTTTTCTCCATTTTATCATCAAATGCATCAAGAAATAAGCTAAACTATTCATTTAGGTTTGTATGGAAGTAGGTCCACAGGTTTTGGAGCTCCAGAGTGGAGGATGTAGTTATAGACAAGTCTTCAGTTATGATACTTTAAACATTTTTGTGGCAGTGAAGTTACTTGTTGAGTGCACAACAGAGGAAAGGTAAGTTTCCTTCACAGATAAGAATATTCCAATGACAGCACAGGTTATTAGGAGTACTAGGAGTCCCTAAGTGATTGTAATGTGGCAATTAAGAATGAATAACAAAAAGGCACAATACCGTGACTGGAACGATACACAAATAACCCGCACATAAAAGACAGAAGCTTACGACGACGTTTCGGTCCGACTTGGACCATTAAGAATGTTTTACAACTGGAGACAATGTAAAAATTATTAATCTTGATAACATCCAGGCCAAGGTTGTGGAAGAGTATAATCATTTGCAATTCTCTCCCATTACATTTCAAATCACAGCATAGTAATCCCCCTTAAAAAAGGAAAAAAAATGCAAAGGTTTCTTCCTGAAATAATGATTTTTGAACACCTTTACAAATTCAAGACTATAAACAGAGTAATTTACATTCCTTCAGAAGCACTGTATAGGTAAATTGTTTCTGGTTATAGCTATATTTAGTTATTTAACTAAACATTAACAAAACCTAAATTATGACTTATAGGGAGTGAGAATCTACATTCTAAATATCAACTATTTTCTTTGGTCAAAGTATGGTTACAGTACAGTACAGTACAGCACAGTATGGTACACAATTAAGCCACACATAGGAGAGAGAAGCTTACAATGCTGTTTCAGTCAGACTTGGACCATTTACAAAGTCACACTATGACTTTGTAAATGGTCCAAGTCAGACTGAAATGTTGTCATAAGCTTCTCTCTCCTATGTGTGGGTTATTTCTTTATCTTTCCAGTCATGGTATTGTTCCTTTTGTTTTTTCAGTACAATATGGGCAATATCTTGACAATACAAGGTTGGCTATTATACTGTAAGTTCTGAGAAAGTAAATACCAGGTACATATATACAGAAGCTCCAACAGCACTGGTATATTTATAAAATTTTTAGCAAAATCAGTCAATAGTTTAAAAAAAGTGACTTGACAATCTTCTTAAAGATTATGGGGCCACAAATGTAAACTGGTACCGAATTAACTTAACTAGAAAATATTTCTTCATAAATAGAGTGGTAGATTGCAGGATAGGATTCAAGCACTACAACTTCTGAAAACTTAATACATTACAATACTATATGAAAGACTAAACACTGAAAACCAAGCACCATTAGCATAACTTTGCTTTTATAACTATCTGTACAAAAATGAAATAATAAATACATAATTAGACATATAAAATAATTCACCCCTCATTGTTGTTATCAAAATAACTTACCTCTGCCAAACATATGCTGTTTCTTTAGTGGTAGAGGAGGCATGCGGTGTGGGTCTTCAGGACCATAGCGGTAACTGCCTGTATTATAATCCCCACTTTGGTTTCGACTTCCACTGTCTGTGGTTTCAATAAGAATTACATATTATTTAGGAAATCAAGTCCTAAATAATTAAAACATAAAATATATAAATATTTTGATCAAAATAGCTGAATAAATGAAGTAGCATTAGTGATCCATCTGCCAAGACTAAGACCATGCATGATACCCTCCAGTGTTTCTAATTATTACATCAATCAGAAAAGTAGCACAATACTGTACCTCAATTCTCTAAGAGGTTAAGCCATATGTGTAAAGTTCCTGAGACAGGAATAAGTTAAGGAATGGAAAGTCAGAAATACAGAAATTGCAAGTGAAATTCTTACCTATGCCAACTTGCATGATGTGTTAGCCTCTTCATGTGTAAACTTGAATTTTATTTTACTGCTTATACCTTGCAGTCCATTAAAATAATGTTAATAAATTACTTTTTCTAAAGAATATTTAAATACATACATTAAAATGATTTATGTAAAGAAAGTACTACAGTAATATCATATCTTTCTGACTCTAATCTGTCGAACTCAATATTCTCAGAGATTCGGGAAATAAATTTTGAATTCAGAATTATCTCTGAAATTTTGAACATTCTGAACTTAATTCAGAAGTAGTATCTTCTGATTCCAGAATTTTTTATACATGTGAGAATGTTTTCCAAAATTTTGTACATATTTGGAATACTCTCTTATTCAGAATTTTTAGAATAAAAGAATTTACATTAGAATACGTACCTATTTTTTTTTTTTTTGCTAATACACTAATATAATAAATTCTGAAGTTATGAATTCAAATTATTATTATTATTATTATTTGCATTCATGGGGAGAGCACTAAATCCATAGGTGTTATACAGTGCCTGAGGAAATGGGAGGTAATCAGGTTCAAGAATATTTTGTGATTTGGAAAACTTGGAGAATAAGATAAAATTCTGAGTATCAATTTGCAAAAAGCTATGCTCAATAATTCATATTTTTTCCAAATAGAGAAATATCAGAATTTTATCATTTATAATTATCTATAATTTGGATACCTAAGCTTGACTTAGTGCACATAAGAAAGAAATTATTGTAGTATAATATTTTAATTAGACACTGCCTTGATTCTTTGAGTACATAAATTTGTCTCTAAATTTATCCAATATAAGGATTAGGCCGGAGTGTTCTTTTATTGCTGAATTTTGTGTAATTTTCTATTTTCGGGTGGGAAATTAAAATAAAGTGTAAGTATCTGTGGAGGTGCGAGTGTACCTGTGGACTGTGTTGTGTGGTCGACTGTGCCCCATGGCTCATCAGGACTAAGGGAGGACACTGCGGAGTCACTGGAGGCGTCCACACCTTCGTCACCACCAAGCTGAGGTAGCACACACCCAGCTGTGCCCAACAACAACAACACTCTCACTAAGTTATAAACTCAGCTGCAGTATGTCTCAATAGCATTCCCAGTAAGACAGAAGTATAGCATATACCCATCAAGGCAAGTGGTAAAGGTCTTGCTTTAAAGAAAAAGGTAAAAGTAAAGCGTTTAATGTATTCCTTCTAAAAGTTACGGAACTGATTTCTGATTTCATGATATATTGTTACAAATATGAATACAATCTTCCAAGAAAAGATGGAATATAAAATACTAAAAGTAACTAAACAGATCAAGATGCATTTGGTAAACTCCCTTGCCCATTTAAACACTGCCTTGAATGGGACTCACAGTCAATCAGATAATATGTTTTAATTATAATCTACACTACTGCATGAGATAACTGAGTTTGTTATATTCCAGTTCCCAAACATACCAAAATAAGAAAGTAAAGTACTGTATTCTAAGCTAAAAGCATAATTAAATTAGTAACAAAAGCATTCATACTGGTTAATATAAACTGTGCATTTCCTTGATACTGTCCATTACAGTCATCCCTACAAATTACATGCCTAGAATGTTCCTTAAAATTAGAAACTGCAAATAATACAAAATTAAGTCTGCATAAATTTTGTTTCAGATTCAAACTTATTTTGTGTTTCCGATCACATCTCTGTGACATATCACTCTAGTCTGGTTAATAATGAACAGAATAAAAGAGAATTGTGTGTGCAAAGGCCTCTGGGCCTGAAAAGGTTGGACAGTTGAATCTAATGGTCGGTTGCCTTTCAGTGAATATGATGGATAATTGAAATCTGAGAATACAGGCCACGTTTTTAGAGATGACTGCGCATTTAATAACTAAAACAGAAGTAACACAACAAGGATGAAATTTAAATGATTTTATCACAAATAATTTTAACAATAAAGAATTTTTACATACTCTGTGCCACACTATTTACTCTTTCCTGATATTAACTTAAGATTTCATTACTGTTATTGTTATTAGTAATACTATTATAATCATTATTATTATAGATGCATGACATAAACAAGAATATCTTTGAAATTAAAGTAAAGTGTTTATAATAATATACCAGCTGAGAGATATAAGTAGTTAAGTGTGCAGCTACTCAATCCATGACTTTTAACATTAAAGTTGGGCACACCATAGATCCTTATGATAAATTAAATTATTTTATGCCCAAAATGAAGAAATACCTTCTGAAAAGGTGAGCTGCAATGTACTTCGCTGGATAATTAAATGAAGTAATTAATATATTTTAGAATTAATAGACCTTAATAAATTGCAGCCTAGGTAGTTGTATTTATAAAATCCAGTATACTGTATTGTGAAATACAATACTAGAATGAAAGAGATGTGGAAAACAACAAGTTTCTCTTCATATACATTTATAACAATGATCTTACACAAAAGAGTTATTGGGTTAAAAATTATATTATGTACAATTTTCTTTGAACAGTGTTACAAGATTACTATATACAGTACATGCAGGAATCTTGCAAGTTGCTGGGACTAACTACTTGAAACATGCAACATCACATGCAAGATGCTTATCCCATGCAAACAGAATATTTCAGATGAATTTTATGTCAGATGTTCATTTGATGTAATATACAGTAATACATGAAATAAAACCAGTGATGAGTGCCGTCAGGACATTCATGCAAGTTGGCAAAATTAAAACAAAAGCACAAGAGATGGACAGCAGGTAAACATAGGAACAAGGTAATTTCCAGAAAATATATAATACAGTCTTGAAAGGCATTCCACATGTAGACAACAAACAGCAATGGAAATTGAGAGTGTATATTATTTCAACTCCAACCAGGATCCTCATCAGCTGGGGTTCAAATTATGCAATCTCAATTTCCACAACTGCTTTACTGTCTACATGTGAGATTTCTTTCAACGCTGACAAGTATTCATTACAATTTTGTTGTCATCATATAATACAGTGATTAAAAAACTCTAAACAATACATGGATATGTGCAAACAGCTTACAGCTTTACTAATCATTATTATGGTTCTAATTATTGCACAGGTGTAGATTATCAGTAAATTTTATTCACATTAACTGGACACTCAACATTATCTCACAAAATATCATTGCCATGTGATGTACATTTTATTTTTTTTTATTAACACATCGGCTGATTCCTACCAAGGCAGGGTGGTCTTGCCAGAGGGCTGCTTTACACTACAGTTATGAAACTGCAACATTAACACCCCTCCTTCAGAGTGCAGAAACTGTACTTCCCATCTCCAGACTCAAGTCTGGCCTGCCGGTTTCCCTGAATCCCTTCATAAATATTACTTTGTTCACATTCCAACAGCACGTCAAGTATTAAAAACCATTTGCCTCCATTCACTATCAAATACGCTCACACATGCTTGCTGGAAGTCCAAGCCCCTCACACACAAAACCTCCTTTACCCCCTCCCTCCAACCTTTCCTAGGCCGACCCCTACCCCGCCTTCCCTCCAGTACAGATTTATACACTCTTGAAATCGTTCTGTTTTGTTCCATTCTCTCTACATGTCCAAACCACCTAAACAACCCCTCCTCAACCCTCTGGATAATAGTTTTGGTAATTCCGCACCTTCTCCTAATTTCCAAACTATGAATTCTCTGCATTATATTCACACCACACATTGCCCTCAGACACGACATCTCCACTGTCTCCAGCCTTCTCCTCGCTGCAACATTCATCACCCATGCTTTATACCCATATAGGAGTGTTAGTATAACTATACTCTCATACATTCCCCTCTTTGCTTCCATGGACAAAGTTCGTTTTATACTGTATGCAAAACTAGCCACAGGGAATGAAAAGAGCTAGGCCTCTGACACAGCAACTAATGCCTCATCAGGAGCTATGCAATATGTATTGCAATAGGCAGGAGTGAGAAAAAAAGTCTGAGGAAGAGAGCTAGTGTCAGTATAGCCATGACTTCACTCTAAGAGGAAGGTAGGCATTGCCTACTTATTGCAACAATGCATAGCTCCTCATGCAGTGTGAAAGGCCTATTGCTAGTTCTTTTCATCCCCCTGTGGTTTGTTTTGAAGAGTGTGTGTGATTGCTCTTTTGTGGTTATCTTGTATTTTATGCTGCGTAGTATATGACTTTTAACACTGAACGATAGCTATATTTTTCACAATATGTTCTCGCATTATCCTTTAGGAAGTACAGTAAACCACAATTTAACTCTATCCTAAAATATAGGACAAAATCAGCTGGGTTAATTGATTCAGAAAAAAACAAATAGAGTCCACTGATTACAATACTGTTACAGTCACTGCAACATAATCTCATCCCCATCCACTACAACTGCCACTTCTTCCTCATTCTTTTATTACATCAAGTAGTTACTCTACTCTGCACTTCATAATGATATGAGCAACATTTGGAAACTTCATTTAGAAACATTTCACCTGCACAACAGGAATCTTCAAGTTTTTCAAGACTTGAAAAAGCTTGCTGGACAGTCAAAATATTGTCTAAATCAAGTTTGCAATTGCTGCTTTTGTGCTTTTATCAATTATAACTTGTCGGTATTCCCATACCACCTTCTATTACAGGGACTATTTGTTTACCCATTCACCTTTACTTTGCCATTTTATGGTTAAAATTAAATTTATTTCACTCCTGTCTCTATTATTTATTATCATTCTGTATAACAATATTGTCTACAGTTTCAAACATGAACTAGGTCTTTGGTTTTAGATAACTGGGATCAAGAATTTTATTTTTGTATAAATTACTGTTCATGACAAATATGCACCACACGCCCAAATTCGTATAAAATTTGTTGCATTTTTCTGAATAAATATTATCACTGTACATTATTAATATTATTATGGGTCGGCCATCACTAATCTGGCAATCAGTTATCCGGTTCCATCAGTAATCCTGCACTAATTTCAGCTAGCATAATTTCAAATTTCATCATTATACCAACTCAAATCATTATACTGACTCAGAAATTATGCAGATTGTTGTAAATCCACAGCAGCAAGCCAGTGGAGGAGAAAGCAGTGATGAAAATGAGGAAGATGTAACAGAAAGAGTCTCTATTGATAGGTTAATTAAGTGTATTTATTCTAACCTAACCACTCTGTAATCCGGCAAACTCACTAATCCGTCACACTACAGGTACCAATGATGCCGGATTAGTGATGGCTGATCTGTGCCTGTATTATAATATTATTATTATTATTATTATTATTACTGGTATCATTAATTATTATATATTTATTATTATAAGATAATTCTTTTCTTTGACTATAAGGATGCACCTGATATACAATATGTAGTTGCAAATCTTGAAAATGGTTAAACAGTAGCATCAGCTGGCGACACTTATGAAATGAATGAACTAACTATAAAGCCTATAAGAAAAAGGTGCTGATAAAATTCAAGTTTCTGTGGAACATAAAATCCTCATGTTTATAGTCGTGCAATCTCAATGGTGTCAATGCTTCTTGTTGGATTAGGATATTGTTTTAATATCAAGATAAAGTTGTATGCTTACTGGAGAAACATAATCCACTTATGAACTAGTAGTTCATAATTTGAAGATTCGCCTATTATGGTCTTATGAAGGATCATAATCTCTGCAGATTGTAAAATATTTGGGTACAATATAATTTTAACCCTTAAATGGTCCAAACAAATCGACGTTCAAATTCGTAGTGCTACAAAAGTAGATCTTCTTTTTTTTTACATATTTTCAAATATAACAAAAAAAAATGTAGATAAAAGTTTTTTTACACGTTTTCAAATGTAAAACAAAAAAGATGATCTATATTTTTTTACATACTTTCAGATGTTGAAAAAACGTATACATGTATATACGTTTGGACCATTTAAGGGTTAATAATAAAACATTAAGATTCTGCTTAATTTTCTAATTAAAATGAAGTTTAAATTTGATTTAAAATTGTGATAGTTTATGTGTTTCTACACAAAATTACATCGGGTCTGTTATTTATACATGTATTGTAGCTAAAAGTACAACTGGGAGTAAGCAATTACCAGATTTTGTATTTTAAACCTTTTCAAAATTCTAAATTATATGGGACAAGAAGCTCAACCTAACATAACTTTACCAACGATTTTGGAGGAAACACCACCATACTTTAACGTATTTATTCCAGGTTTCAAAAACACTTGCTTTTCAAAGTGTAAGTAAAACCTCAGCGAATGATAAGCAAAGTTCTGTGAACTGAGTAGAAGACAACCAGCCTAGTGAGGTTTGTAGGGACGGGCTGTCAAATATTATTTCAGTGAGCCAGCAGTAGGTTGCCTGGTCATATTTAATTGTTAAATGGCTCTAATGACATTAATATTCCGGCAAAACTCATTGTGAATATTTTCTAAAATATTACTTTAAAGCAACCTTCCAGTTTGAACTTGTGAAAAAACAACACGAGACCAAAACACCTGGCGCAGTGCCTACATACTTGCCTCCTCCTCCTCCTTGTGTAAATCAAGCAACTATTATATTTGAAAAAACATGCAAGATTCTGAGACTTTCCAGAATTCTACTTTAAATTAAAATATAATAAAACTTATAGAATTGAATAAAAAAATAACTATATTTAGTATCAAAAAAAATTTAACTGTATTTTTACATAGACAGGAATGCTGTACATACAGTAATTTATACTATTTAGCATGCCATAATATTATTAACAACTGCTGCAGTCCATATGTTAGCAATGCATTACTTGACCTGATGCTCCATATGCAAACCCTTTTTACTGTGATGTGTGTGAGTTCTATACAGCTTGCCAGTGTTAAATGTCCAACTTTTTATGCAAATGTTTGTTACATGACGTGGCTGCATACAGTAGGTACACGGTGGTAAGATGCAGCAAAGTTTCACAATGACTCTCATCACAGTCATGTTCACCAGTTTTTTACTTTTTTAATAAATCAAAGATAAACAAAAATCTTACTTGAAAACACTATGAAACATTTTACTATGACTATATGCTTTAGTGATTTTTTAAAGCTGCTATCAACACTGTACTATGTTTTTCTTTACTGTTATCCAAGTAAGCTGTGTAACTAATGTCAAAAGGTAATTGTAATTATTTATCAAATATATTGTGTAAATTCTTTTGTCAAATGTTTAAATTAGTTGCAAAGTAATAATTAAGATTCTGTAAAGGAAGCAGCAATACATGCCAACATTCATTCACATTTCTTAGCAACGAATTCTGTACTTTAAAAACACTATTAATTTCTTATGATGAAATGTACTGCAACACTTTATAATACCAATACAGCACAGCCTTTATAAATGATTATTAAAAAAAATTCCATCCTAAGAAACAGATCATCACATTAAAAGCTAGATGAAGAGAGTTTAGAAGTAACTACTAATGCATATGTTAGTACTCACAGTCATTCATGGCCATCTCCATCAAACCCAGCGCTTCATCATTGAGTATGGATGACAGAAGACCGTCTGTTGTCTGGTTCATTTCTGTGCTAGTATTCTGCAAAAGGAAAGCAACAATTTTTTTTTTTAAATGAAACTACACTGATAAGAGCTGTAAGAAAATCTGAAGTACAGAAGCAATGTAACTGAACTTTCAGTTACTAACCAAACACTATGGGCACTTTTCTTCCTGCTCATAGTTAATGTTTCCTGATGAGATAAAAGGTGAAAGCTTAGAGTTTTTAACAGTGAAGTAAACTCCATTAAAGACAATTTTATTGATTCAGCTCCTTCAGGTTACCACTGAGTGGCTGGAACCACAAATTCCTTAACATTTTATCTCAATTTTGGCATTTATTAATTAACTGGTTTGCAGATATACAGCTGATGGAAATCAATATTTCATTATATAATTTATAGTTTATGCTTAACAGTATCACCTGATTCCACAAATGTTACCCACATAATGAAGTTCTGATTCTTTAAACCATAAAACATATCTGCCAATAAAAGGCATCATTCCTAGAGCTCTCAAATTTTTATTTTGTTAACATTTGTTGCCCTTCCATTATGTACCAAATATTACTTTCAGTAACTGAAATACTTATATTTCCATATCTCGAAATACTGTGACATTATGCTCCAAGAATTAACTATAAGAATTGAAAACATTTTTGTGCCTATAAATATTTTCTGTGCCATTCCTACTTTATCACATACTGTAATCTCAATTTTTTGTTTAACGAATCTAAAAAAAGATAACTCTTACATTTAATATTTTTATCATTGTAGTTTCAAATGTTCAGTATTATGGTACTATTTTTCATTAGAATTGAACATACCCAAATGACCTATTTAAGTTAATGTAATTAAAAATATTCAATAATTACTACTGACATCATTAGATGTTATAGTGTACTGTTGGTGGAGCATTAATCATATTGGACTTGTACAGTAAGCTCTCAATTATCTGACAGCTTATTTAGCAGGAGTCTTGCTCTTATGGCATTTCTCTCTAATGGGATTCAGATAATCAAGAGTTTATTGTAATATAATCATCTTGAGTATCATTCTTGCTTGAGAGGCAGTACAGTATTACTGAATTTTGTAATTCATAAAACCATAGTTGGTTCAGAATCATCCTGCCAAATAAGGTAAATATACCTTTGTATCTTGATCTGTAATAAAGTAGTAACTCCAGACCCAAGACATGGTCATCTCATTAATACCATTCTAATTTTTGTATTATGAGTGGGCAACTTGCCCATGCTAGACATCCTGTTCATGAAACAAAAATCAGTATTGCTTCTACCTTAAACATTAATTTTATTCATTAAATTACTGAGGAAATTTCTTAACACTTTAAGATAATGATAATAGTCTTTATTGCTCCTACAAAATTTTATCACTCTGCCTGCCCTCCAAAATTTTTGTCACTAGGAAGCGAAGCTCCAACCAAAGCTGACAGTTTTTACCCACTTCATTGGGCATATAATTCAAAAGCATTATTCAGTACAGTGGTACCCCGAGTTTCGTACAGCTCCCAACTCTAACAATTATGTAAGTGTATTACTGTAAGTGCTTTTGTAAGTGAATTTTTGGGGTCTGAAATGGATTAATCTAATTTATATTATTCCTTATGGGAACAAATTCATTCAGTAACGGCACTTGAACAGCCTTCTGGAACGAATTATGGCCGAAACTCGGGGTACCACTGTATATTGTATGGAAGAGCATTCCTAGTGGAAAAATTAAATACTGGAATATACAATATTAAAATGTCTAAACTTTGAAAGCTAATAAGAGTGAAATGGGTGATATTAAAAAGTGAAAACATTATACACAATGTACCTGGTAATACATCATCTCAGAAGGTAAAGTAGTCGTCGTTTCCATCTTGTACTGACTGTGGTCACCGCCAGCCAAGTCGGAACTGTTGGTGAGGTTCATACTGCTGGTGACCAGGTGGCTTGACGCTCCTGCATATACACAACAATTAAGAAATGCTCAAGGAGAAATGTTCATGTATAATCACTTAAGTTACTGTAATGAAACTGATTGTTTTGTTAAATCATGTTCTCATGTTCTAGGGTAATGATACAAACCTTCTGGCTCAGTGCATGCAAACCCTAAAATCATGAATTTATAGGTTCTCCAAAGTCATGTAATTTTTATGATGGTTTTTATAAATCCTGAGGAGAATATATTCAGATTTTCTTCCATCTGCAAGTTCTTTGTCTTTGCCCACATAATTCAGAGAATCAATTTTGGTCACACTAAATACATTTCTACACGCCAGGTACAGTGGAACCTTGGTATTCATTTGCCCCCGTTTTCCTCGATTTCGGATGTCGATGACTTATTTCGTCAAAATATTGTCTCCGTTTTCATTCCTCACCTCAGATTTTGTCTGCCTGCCATGCACACACAAAGCCTCCCACACACATAATCTGAGTCAGTGTGGTGTTCTTTCTCAGAGAGTGAACATTACCCTGTGTGTTCATACGAAACATTTCATAATAATCTATTGTTTTTTGTGCTTGTTTATTGTGTGTGACTGCCAAATAAGCCACCATGGGGCCAAAGAAAGTTCCAAGTGCCAGTCCTTTGATAAAGAAGGTGAGAAACATGATAGAATTCAAGAAAGAACTTGTTGAAAAGTACAAAAGTGGCGTATGTGTGGTTGATCTCGCCAGGATGTATGGGAAGTCCTCATCAACGATCAGTTCCATCCTGGCGAAGAAAAAAGAAATCAAGGAATCTGATGTTGTGCAAGGGGTGAGTGTGCTAATGAAACAAAGATCACAAACAGTCAAAGATGTTGAGAAGTTGTTATTGTTAGTGGAGGCGATAATTTGCAAAAAGGCAAGGCAGTTGCATGTGGATCTCGTAAAGAAGATGCCTGGAATGAGTGCTGCTGTTAGTGAATTTAAGGCCAGCAGAGGCTGGTTTGAAAAATTCAAAAAGCGATCTGGCATACACAGTGTGTTAAGGTATGGCAAGGCTGCAAGTTCAGACAAACGTGCAGCCAAAGAATTCGTTGATGAATTCAAGGGGTACATAGAGGCTGAAGGATTCCTCCCCCAACAAGTGTTCCACTGTGATGTAACAGGCCTCTTTTGGAAGAAAATGCCAAAGACAACCTACATCACACAAAAGAAAAGGGCACTGCCTTTTCCTCCTGTCCTTCCAAACAATAACCTCTCTTCCCTCTCCCCTCCTTGCCGTATTCCATACGCCAACAAGAGTCTTCAATAAAGGTAAGTGTGATGTTAAATGTTAATTTATCATTAAATTCAGTCATTTATATTTATTTCTCATTGTTTTCTGTATGCAAAACTATATTTATTCTCTATAAAATGTATTTTTTGTTAATACTTTTGGGTGTCTGGAACGGATTAATTAGATTTACATTATTTCTTATGGGAAATATTGCTTCAGTTTTCATCGAATTTGGTTTTCGTCTGACTCTCTGGAATGGATTAAAAATGAAAACCTATGTTCCACTGTAATTATAAATTAGAGTCCCTAACAATATTTTAAAAGTTATGAGTTGTTATCTTACCTAAGCTCTTGTCAAAGTTGGACAAGTTACATAACATTAACATTTATACAAGGCATATTTTCCAGTTCTGATGTCTCCTGTGTTTGAGATAGGCTGTAAGCACAGAAAGACAATTTCAATGTGAAAGCACAAGTGTTTTAAAGAACAATGAGGGAGGAGTCTTCCTTGCATAAGCATCTTATCTTTTAGGTGGAACAGATGGCCAAATGCATCTGCCTCATGTGTCATATGGGTATTCATACTGGTACCAGATTAGCCTGCACAGAAGTAGGGGAGCTAAGTGAGGGACCTATTACAAGGGTTCTGGCAAATTCTGCTGGATGAACAAAAGCAAAAAGCTGATTGAATTTTCCACACTCACAGATCATTACTGCTCCTGCAGGATTTGTTTGGGTTGTGAAGCTCCGTGAGTACATTCAGTAGCTTCATGATAACCATACTCCGTAGCCTACTAGGTTACACGGTGTAGTTAACTGGTGTCATTTCTGCTTCACTTTGCCTCGCTGGGGTTATGAACCTGCCTATGTACCCTCTGTCTACTCTATATTTCTTGTCTGCTTGAAGGGGCCAGTGTATATACCTGTGATATTCCTGTGATCAGTTTCAAGCTTTTCTAATTTCACAGCCTAGCTCAGAGCCAGGCTTTTCAATTAACTGTCTTTTTACCCAGGCTGCTGCCATTAGTGACTTGCCAGCCCACACTGTCATCACAGTCTGGCTGATCTGGCAATTTGCATAGGTAGTTTTACCATCATCTCTTGAGGACTTCTACACTTATTCCACCAATATTTCTGATATCAAGCTGAATAGTCTTAGACAATGGATGCTGATACAGTATTCTCTTACTGAGAACATGGCTTTCCCAATTTTCACTGGGTCTATTTTACAGTCTCTTTCTTATTTCTCACTCTAGTATAATATGGCAGTGTGTTGATGTAGGGTTAGGCCTTTGAGTATCTTCCATGCACATATTATCAGTGATATCTCTCTTCTTCACTTCAGAAGGTACTATACTTTGAGGCATGTTTTATATCTCTTTTCAAATTCTGGGAGATTTATTCTCATGTCACATATATTTACACAATATACCTGGAGTATACCTGGAGAGGGTTTTGGGGTCAACACCCCTGTGGCTCGGTCTATGAGCAGGCCTCATGGTGGATCAGGGTCTGATCAACCAGGCTGTTACTGCTGGCCACATACAAACTGACGTACAAACCACAGCCGGCTGGTCAGGTATTGACTCTAGGTGCATGTCCAATGCTTTCTTGAAGACAGCCAGAGGTCTATTGGTCATCCCCCTTATGTATGCTGGGAGGCAGTTGAACAGTCTTTGGCCCCTTGACACTTACTGTGTTGTCTCTCAGTGTATTCATGGCACCCCTGCTTTTCATTGGGGAAATGTTGCATCTCCTGCCTAGTCTTTTGCTTTCATAGAGTGATTTTTGTGTGCAAGTTTGGTACTAATCCCTCTAGGATTTTCCAAGTGTATATTATCAAGTATCCCTTTTGCCTGCATTCCAGGAAATACAAATCAAGGGACTTCAACCGTTCTCAGTAATTTAGGTACCTTATCGTACTTATGTGTGCTGTGAAAGTTCTTTGCACACTCTCCAGGTCAGGAATTTTGCCTGCCTTGAAGGGGGCAGTTAGTGTACAGCAGTATTCCAACCTAGAGAGAACAAGCAATTTGAAGAAAATCATCATGGGCTTGACATCCCGAGTTTTGATTGTTGTGGTCTTTGAGGGTGAGATCCTCTGACATTATCACTCCCAGGTCCTTCACATTACTTTTTCACTCTATTGTAGGGTTAGAATTTGTTGTATACCCCGATACAGTTTTAATTTCCTCAAATTTTCCATATCTGAATAGTTGAAATTTCTCTTCAGTGAACTTAACATTGTTTTGAGTGGCCCATTTGAAGATTTGGTTTGATGTTTGTTTGGAGTATTGCAGTGTCTTTGATGGAGGACACTGTCATGGCAATTTGGGTGTCATTCGCATAGGAAGATACATCTCAGTCTACGCATTTTGTGCGCTATTACACCATGGTCACACTTGTTGAAGGTCTTTGCAAAGTCTGTGTATACTACAGCTGCATTTTGTTTATCCTTTATAGCATCCAGGACCCCGTCATAGGGGGTCCAGTAGCTGGGACAGGCAGGAGCAACCTGCTCTAAACTTGTGTTGCCCTAGATTGTGTAACTGATGTGTATCTAGGTGGTTGGCAATCTTGTTTCTTAGAAGCCTTTCAAAGATTTTTATGATATGGGATGTTAGTGCTATCGGTCTGTAGCTCTTCGCAATTTCTTTACTGCCACTTTCATAGAGTGGGGCTATTCCTGTTGTTTTTAGTGAGTGTGGGATGACGCTGTGTCCATGCTCCCTCTCCATAGAATGCTGAAGGCACGTGACAGGGGCTTCTTGCAGTTTTTACTGAACACGGAGTTCCATGAGCACAGGTATGAACAAACTATGATATGGATCTTCAACTTTCTTTCATTAATGGATCATTAAGAGGATTGCTGAACACTGATTCATAGTGGTGTCTCAGGATTTTGCAATTTTCTTTTTGTCACCAGTATATGATTTTCTTGTGAGTAGTGGGCCAATTCTAGATGTGGTTTCTAACTTGGATTTTGGATGAGTAGAAATATTTAGGATTTACTGTTTTTTGTTCCTTCTGTACTTCAACAAGATTCATGATGGTGTTACATAAATTTGATCTAATTATACATGTCCAACATGGCAACATCATGGAATCTTGGTAGAGTGAATATCTTGACCTTTTACTTATAGCACATATTATTTGTGATTTACAAAATTTCTTACTAGATTGACCAATACTACAGTTACTACTACCAATACTACATCATAGCATATCAAATCCGCCCCTAACTTTCATGGCCAGGAAGTTACATCATAGCTTCTGCTCATGTTTATGTGACCATTACTACCTCATTACTTCTTCCTCTGTGGATTCCCTATGTAAATCTTCATTCTCTGTATCAGACTGATAAAGCTCCTGGTGGCCGAGACGTCTCTTAAATAAGGATACTCAAGTGTTACATGTGTTTTATTCATCAATTTTTTTAGCATTATACACCTTACATTTTGATTATTCTCACATCTGATGGACTGTTAAATCTTAATTCATAATGTTCTCTCAGGATTTCACATCTGTTTCTCATCCTCTGTGTAGTTATCTCCCTCAAGTTGCAGGGTCAATATTGCTAGATGTTCTGTATTTACATTTTGCTTAAGAGAACAAAATATTTTAGATTTATATCGCTTTCTTGAATGATCATTCATTCCTTTTTTAAATTTCTCCTGTCTGGTATTAGTGTTTTAGCTACCTTTCTAGCTCAGTTATTTGTTGTGTTGACTTTCTCTTTGTTCTCTCATTTGTGGTCTACATAGTGCAGTGTCTCAGTTTCTTCTTCTGTAAAGTTTTCTGCGAGGAAGAGGGAGGGAGGGAGGGAGGGATAGGGAGGGAGGGAGGGATAGGGAGGGAGGGAGGGAGGGATAGGGAGGGGAGGGAGGGATAGGGAGGGGAGGGAGGGATAGGGAGGGGAGGGAGGGATAGGGGAGGGGAGGGATAGGGAGGGGAGGGATAGGGAGGGGAGGGATAGGGAGGGATGGGAAGGGGAGGGAGGGCTTAGAGGGAGGAAAGGGGAGGGAGGGAAGGGGGGGAATGGAAGGAGAGTGGATAGATAGAGGAGACAATGAGAAAGTGGGAGATGCTAAGAGATGGATAGGAGAAATGGAGAGTGAGGGAAAGCGATGGAATGACAGTGAGAGGGAGAGAGAGCAAGAGGAGACATGGAAATGGGGAGCAGTGGAGCAAGGGAATGAGAATATGAGAGGGGGGGAGAGATGGAGTGAGAGGAAAGGTGGAACGTAAGTGAAACGAGAGAGAGAGAGAGAGAGAGAGAGAGAGAGAGAGAGAGAGAGAAGAGAGAGAGAGAGAGAGAAGAGAGAGAGAGAGAGAGAGAGAGAGAGAGAGAGAATGAGAATGAGAAATAGAAGGAAAAATGTGAGAAAGAGCGAGTGAGAAAGTTATAAAAAACGAGAGAGAGAGACGGGGTGACACCAGCCACACCAGGATAACTTCACGTACCACATAACAATATCGTCGACCACAGCGCTGGTGCAAATTTCTCAAACTGCAGACCCGAGAAGCATCAAAGTGATATATATGATGTCTGGAATGTTGGTAGTGAGTTACCTGCATCAGTTATTACACACTACCACCATCACTGTGAATGTTGGTAGTGAGTTACCTGCATCAGTTATTACACACTACCACCATCACTGTGAATGTTGGTAGTGAGTTCCCTGCATCAGTTATTACACACTACCACCATCACTGCGAATGGTAGATAAGGTAGATAAGACTAACTGAGTTAGTTCCAGACTTTGGAACAGAACTTCTCCAGGCTGAGGGACTGACAACCTCAAATCTACGACTTCAAGGGTGATGGACTGATTACACCGTCTTCACATCTCTACTGCTCCCGCCTACTTTCTGTACTCGACTGAAGAAGCCTACTGTGTAGGCGAAAAGTTTCGGAATAAAGTTGCCTAAATGTTGCCTATGTGTCTTATCTACCAACCTGTCGGTATTGTATACCATTTGATAATCATCACTGCGAATGTTGAGACACTTATGCAACGTATGGGAATCTTTATTCGGGAAACGTTTCGCCACAGAGTGGCTTCATCAGTCCAATACAAAGTAGAAAGGCGTAAGGAGAGGAGGAGTTTGAGGTAATCAGTCCCTCAGCCTGGAGTCGATGTGTTCTGTCCATCAATCTTGTAGAATGTACAGCATAGAACGAACGAACGAACAAGTGCAGGTAAGATCCCAATGGGATGAGCGGGGAAGACGGGACAGACGAAGAATAGCGCTGGAGAGGAGTCTTCTTAGTCGTAGAATAATGTAGGCAATGGGCGAAGTGGATCATGGCTGCTTCTGAAATACTACGTTTAGTTGAAGAATTGAGACACTTATGCAACACATGGGAATCTTTATTGAAGAAACGTTTCGCCACATAGTGGCTTCATCAGTCCAATACAAAGTAGAAATGGGTAAGGAGAGTAGAAGTTTGAGTTAATCAGTCCCTCAACCTGGAATCGATGTGTTCAGTCCATCACTCTTGTAGGAAGTGCCACTTCCTACAAGAGTGATGGACTGAACACATCGACTCAAGGTTGAGGGACTGATTACCTCATTCTCCTCCTGTTCTTCAAGATTCTCCTTTGTATGGACTGATGAAGCTACTGTGTGGCGAAACGTTTCCTCAATAAAGATACCCAAGAGTTGCACATGTGTCTAATTTATCAACATGTCGGTTCTCTGAACCATTCATCTACAGACTTGAAAAAGCCCACTGTGTGGGCGAAACGTTGTCAATAAAGGATCACATTAAACTGCATATGTGTTTATGTTTCCAGAGCTGAACTCTTCTCTAGGCTGAGGGATGAGACACTTCAAATACTATTTCTCCAAGGTTGATAGACTGATTACATCATCATTTCACTACTACCCCTGCTCCCTCTGTAGCATTTGTGAATCGATATTGAGGAAACGTTTCGCCAGGCAGTGGCTTCTTCAGTCCAGTACCGAGAATAACATCGACTGAGGGACTGATAACCTCAAATTCTTCCTCATATTCTACTGTTATTCTCTGTTTTCCAAATGTTGCACAAGTGTCTCATTCTTCAGCTTGACGGTTTTCAAAACCATTTTTATCATACGGATGTCTTGTTGGTGTTATCCATTTTGCAGGTGTATTTATGTTTCAATAATAAATTTACCCAACTGTTGAACATATGTCTTAACATAAGAACATAAGAAAGAAGGAACACTGCAGCAGGCCTACTGACCCATGCGAAGCAGGTCCGTGTCACCTTCAGGCTTAGCCCAATGACCCACCTAGTCAGGTCACTTCCACTTAAGGAAGGAGCACAGCATCAGACCTAGTAGCACAGGCTAGTAAGGTCCAACTCACACCCACCCACACCCATTCATGTATTTATCTAACCTATTTTTAAAACAACACAACGTTTTAGCTTCTATAACTGTACTCGGGAGTTTGTTCCACTCATCTACAACTCTATTACCAAACCAGTGCTTTCCTATATCCTTTCTGAATATGAATTTTTCCAACTTGAAACCATTGCTGCGAGTCCTGTCTTGGCTGGAAATTTTCAGCACGCTATTTACATCCCCTTTATTTATTCCTGTTTTCCATTTATACACATCGATCATATCCCCCCCTAATTCTACGCCTTTCTAGAGAGTGCAGATTCAGGGCCCTCAGTCTATCCTCATAGGGAAGATTTCTGATACATGGGATCATCTTTCTCATCCTCCTCTGTACGTTTTCCAGAGCATTTATATCCATTCTGTAATACGGTGACCAGAACTGAGCAGCATAATCTAAATGAGGCCTAACCAAGGATATATAGAGTTGAAGAACAACCTGAGGACTTCTATTATTTATGCTTCTTGATATGAAGCCAAGGATTATGTTAGCTTTATTGGGAACACTTATGCACTGTTGTCTTGGTTTCAGATTACTGCTAACCAGAACTCCTAAATCCTTTTCACAATCAGTAGTGTATTAAGATCTACATTATTTGGTTTACATGTGGCACAGTTATTTTCCTGTAAAACATTTAGAACTTTGCATTTGTCAATATTAAACTGCATCTGCCACTTCTCCGACTATTGCATCAGTCTATTCAAATCATCCTGGAGTGCTCTAGTGTCCACATGATTAGCATGAATTGACGGCCTATTTTGGTGTCATCAGCAAATTTACTCATAAACTTGTCAGTATTTTTTACAATTATCAGTATAAGTATCACCAATACCTGATATAACTTTTAAGATGTCTCAGCCTGACCTCAGGTTGCCTTATAAGGCAAATACACCGTCTTAAACAGTAAAACTGTCACCCTGAGGTCAGGTTCTGTGAAAGACAGGTCAAAGGTGAAGTCTGGTATTGGTAAGAGTCGGAGGCAGGGCCAAGGTAACAAGACGAGGTTCATGTTAATTGTATGAATCATTTTATAATGCGGACACTGAGTTCAGCCTGTTTCTAAATAACTGATAAAGTTTAGCAATGAGTGATATTAAAGAAGGATTCCATGCTATCAGTGTCGTTTTGGTTTCAGTATTAGGAATAATTATTACCTAGAGTTGGTACCATGACACTACCAGGGATAGTTACAGACTGGAGAAGACGGCACTCACCCATACTGTTGGTGTAGGTCATGGTGGGTCACACGGTACAAGAAGGGGGTAACTTACCCATACTGTTGGTGTAGGTTATGGTGGGTCACACGGTACAAGAAGGGGGTAACTTACCCATACTGTTGGTGTAGGTGATGTTGTGAGTCATGGGGTCGGACATGGGTGGCGGGAGTGTGGCGTTGTTGATGAGGACGCCCCTGGGCACGGGCGCTGCTGGTGTGGCTGGAGAGGAGTCGTGGGTGGGGTAGAGGGCATGAGGGTGGTGGAGGGGTGTGCCGTGGGCGTGCGAGTGCGTGGGCGAGGCAGTGTGGGCGGCCATGGGCGTGTGGGGAGCCTGGGTGTGGTGGGGGTTGGGCAGACCTAAGTACTGCACCACCTCCTGCCACCGCTCCATTTCCCCGCTCCGGACCAGACTGCCCAGCCGACCCTGAAACAAAACACAACCAACTTAGAAGGATCTCATTTCCATCATAACAAACACGTTACAAACGATAAGTATTTCAAGTCCTACAAACGTGTCCCCATATCCCGAAAGCTCAGCCTTATCTACCTCAATACATGCAAATGAAATAATGATGGCCAATAATAAAATTCTAACGTAGCAAAATATAAAATATGTACGACTGGGGGTGGGGAAAGAATACATCTAAATTCCTTAAGGAGCTGGGAAAAAGACTCATCAGGGTAACTAGGGATCCCAGGGCAGCTAGTTTTCTGTTCCAGCGGCTCAGTGCGGCTTTTCAAAGGGGTAATGCCTGCTGTATTTTGGGCACACGTCCCAGCTCTGAGGAGCTGGATGAGATTTTCGCCTTATAATCGGTGATACACACGTAACAACATGTACCGCATACGTATATTATATATTAAAAAAATATAATATATTATATATATATATATATTATATATAAAAAAATTTTTAAAAAAATATATTTAAATATAATATAATTTTTTTTATTTATACTGCCGAAAATAAAAACGGTCAGTTACAAGAACTCTTTAAAAAATTAAGTCCTTTCTAAAATTTTCTCTTATATTTAAAGGTATTTTTTTTTATTAATTTTAATAAAAAAATTTATAATTTTGCTCCAAAAGAATCTTAAAAAAAAAAACTTACCTAACCTTTTTATAACAAGAAAAATTTTATTTACCCCAAACCCCAACTAAATAATTTTAATTTGTTTACAAAAATTTTAAATTTACTAAACAACACATGAAAAAATTTTTTTTCGTTAGGTTTAGAATGTTTTGGCGAAATTTAAAAGCATACACAAATTTTCGCTTGTCCTATAGGGCAAGAAGCGTTGCTTTTTAACCCAAAGACCCAAAATTTTCCCTATTCGGCCGAACACACACACACACACACACACCAACACAACACAACACAAAAAAAAAATATATATATATAATAAAATATTTAATAAATATATATATTATTTATATATTTATAAAATCCTTGGGAAAAAAAGGAATGAATTGGGAAATAGTAGTACTAACATCTTATATGGGTGTGAACATGGGTTTAAATGTTGCAGCATGAAGAGGCTGGAGGCAGGGGAGATGTGTTGGGGGCAATTGTTGGTAAATATTATGCAGGAATTCGTAGTTTGGAGATTAAAAAGGTGCAGGGTTACTATAAAATTAACCCAAAGGCACTGAGGGGGGTTGAGAGAGGTTTTGGGCATTTTGAAAAGGGGGGGCAAAAAAGAATGATTGGGGGTGGTATAAATCTTAATAGGTGAAGGTGGAGTAGGATTTGTCCTAGGGAAAGTTGAAGGGAGGGGGTAAATTAGGTTTTTTATGTATGGGGTTGGACATCCAAAAGGGGGTTGCGGCTGTCGGGGATTGAGTGAAAGCAAAAAAGTTTTCATGACTTGGCACTGTTGGGGTGTAAAAGGTAAAATTAAGAAAAATTCAAGAAACGGTTTGCTGGCTTGGCGGGGTAAGAAGTACAGTGGGCCGCCCGAAAGGGGCGTTCGGGGTTTTGCTGTAAAAACGGGTTTTATTGGCAAGAAGTGTTGTTGTGGGGGGGGTTTCTTTCCGGGGGACTCTACCTGGGGGGGGAAAGCCAAAAATTTTTTTTTTTTTTTATAATTTTTAAATTTTTATTATTTAAAAAATTTTTTTTTATACAAAACCCACTAGAAGGTTTTGAAATTCCAAGGCTTTCGGCACTCACCCCCCCTAATTTCCTTGCTGTGAGTATCCCCCGAAAAAGGGTGGAATTTACCTCTTTCCATGTTTGTTTTGCATATTTTAAAAACACCTGTTTTTGTTTTATCTTACTGCAATAAATAAATATTTATTTAAATATATATATATTAAATATATAAAATTTTATATATAAAATATATATATATATATTTTTCCTATCCAAAACACCTAAGGCCCGGGGTGCCCCCCAAAAAAAACCCCCCCACCCCCTCCCTCCAACCCGTTCCATCCCCCAAAAGGAAAACTACCTAAGGGGTTTTAAAGGATTTTTTGGTTCTCTTCCGAGGCAGGGAACGTTTTAAAGGGGTAATTGGGCTGGGGTTTTAAACTTATGTTATTGGGCCCAAAAAACATTTAGAAGGGGGTTTTAAAAACCGCCCATTATCCTAAAAAACAGGGCCGCACCCGGGAGGGGGGAAGTTTGAAAAAATTTTAAAAAAACCCCCCTCAACTTTTAGGGGGACCCCCCCGGGGGTTTTCCCTAAAAAAATTAAATTATTTTTTGGGGAAAATTTTTTTTTTTTTTTTTTTTTTTTATCCCGGGATCCCCCTTCCCAAAAGTTTTTTTTTTCCCCAATTCCCAGAAGCCTTTCCCTTAAATTCCCCGGAAACATTCATCCCATCTTCAACCAATTGGCCGTTTCCCCCCAACCCCTCAAAATTTACTTTCCCCTCCCGCCTCCCGGAAAAAAATTCTTTTTCTCCAAACAACTCCTAATCAAACCCCCTCACGTCCTTTCCCCCCCCCAACCCAAAATCCTTTATCCCTCCAACCCTTTTTAGGCCCACCCCTACCCGCCTCCCCCCAAATTTCTTTAATTATTCTTTTTCCCCCATTCTCTCCCCATTCCCAAATCCAACCCTTCCTCCCTTAAAACTTTTGGTATCCCCCCCTCCTAAAATTTCCCTCAATTTTCCCCTTCTTTTTCACACCCCTTTTTAAACAAATTCATCCCCATTTTTCCCCCGGGAAATTCTTAAGTTCCAAACCCCAAAAAAAGCTTTAAAAAACAACTTACAAAACCCCCTTGTGGACAAAGTTCTTTGTCTCCACAGACTCCTAAGTGCACCACTCACCCTTTTTTCCCCCTCATCAATTCTATGATTCACCTCATCTTTCATAACCCATCCGCTGACACGTCCACTCCCAAATATCTGAATACATTCACCTCCTCCATACTCTCTCCCCCCAATCTGATATCCAATCTTTCATCACCTAATCTTTTTGTTATCCCCATAACCTTACTCTTTCCTGTATTCACTTTCCAATTTTCCTTCTTTTGCACACCCAAACCAAATTCATCCACCAATCTCTGCAACTTCTCTTCAGAATCTCCCAAGAGCACAGTGTCATCAGCAAAAAGCAACTGTGACAACTCCCACTTTGTGTGCGATTCTTTATCTTTTAACTCCACGCCTCTTGCCAAGACCCTCGCATTTACTTCTCTTACAACCCCATTTAAAATATATTAAACAACCACGGTGACATCACACATCCTTGTCTAAGGCCTACTTTTACTGGAAATAATTTCCCTCTTTCCCACATACTCTAACTTGAGCCTCACTATCCTCGTAAAAACTCTTCACTGCTTTTAGTACCTACTCCTACACCATACAAACCCGCAACCCTCTGGGCCCCATTGCCCCCTATCCACCCTGTCATACGCCTTTTCCAAATCCATAAATGCCACAAAGACCTCTTTACCCTTATCTAAATACTGTTTCACTTATATGTTTCACTGTAAACACCTGGTCCACACACCCCCTACCCTTCCTAAAGCCTCCCTGTTCATCTGCTACCTATTCCCGTCTTACTCTTAATTCTTTCAATAATAACTCTACCATATACTTATACATATATACATATATACATATATATATATATATATATATTATATATAAAATAAAATAATAATATATATAAATAATAATAATAATATTAATTTAATTTTTAAAACTCAAATTCTCCGAAACCCTTTTTCCACTTTCCCGAGGCTATTTAAATTTTTATAAATATATATTTAAAATATAAAATATATATATTTTAAAATATATATATATATATATATATATATTTATATATATATATAGCAGGGGTTCACGAGAGGTCGTTCCTGCCTGACAAATTTACTGACGTCCTCCAATAGAGCATTTGATGCAGTGGACAGTGATAAAGAATATGATATTGTTTATTTGGATTTTAGTAAAGCCTTCGATAGAATATCTCACAAGAGACTCTTAAGAAAAGTGACAGTTCATGTTATAGGAGGTAAAGTTCTAGCATGGATAGAGGCATAGCTTACCAATAGAAAAGCAGAGATTTTCCATTAATGGGTCAAAATCTGAATGGGGGATTAGTCACCAGTGTGGCGTTTCCACAAGGATCATTTTTAAGCCCTGTCTTGTTCATAGTTTACATTAATGACCTTGATGAAGTGATTACGAGTGACATGAGTAAATTTGCTGATGATACAAAGATAGGCCGTATAATTCATTCTGATGAAGATAGCAATGAACTCCAAGAGGATTTAGACAAATTAATGTCTTGGTCTGAAAAATGGCAGATGAAGTTCAATGTGAATAAGTGTAAGGTACTGGTCCTTGGTAATGAAAATAACCCTCGAAGCTATAAACTAGTTGAAGTAGAGCTTGATCATACAGAATGTGAAAAAGACTTGGGAGTCATGGTAAGCAGAAACCTAAAGCCAAGACAGCAGTGCCTTATTGTGCGCAACAAGGCTAACAGATTACTTGGACTTATCTCAAGAAGTATAAGTAACAGAAGTCCGAAAGTTATTTTACAGCTCTATACATCACTAGTGAGGCCTCATTTAGATTATGCAGCTCAGTTTTGGTCTCCTTACTACAGGATGGATACAGACTCATTGGAGAACATACAGAGAAGAATGACTAAAATGATTTACTGTGTAAGGAATCTCCCGTATGAAGATAGACTTAAAGTCTTAAATCTCCACTCTCTTTATCAAAAATCTTGATACAGTAAAAAAACTTTTGATAAAGAATTCCCCCCAAAATGCTGATGGATGTGTCTATAAGATTCCTTGTAAAATTTGCGATAAAGTTTATTACGGTCAAACTGGTAAAAATCTCGAACTAAGATTAAAACAACATAAATATAGCATTAGAACTGGACAAGATTCCAATGCTCTATTTATTCATGTAAGAGAATTTAACCATCCAATTGATTTTCAAAAG